GGTCAGACGCTCCAGGCGCTCGGATGATAGACCGACCCGCTCTGGTTTACTGCCGGGTAACTCTTTCGCCGTCACGATACCCGTCAGCAGCATCACCAGCACAAATAAAAATATATGCTGCAGAGTTTTCATTTCTCCCTCTCCCCTGTTTGTCAGCCGTTGAGGCTAGCTAAAGCCGCGACAAGACACAAATAGATTTGCTCACATGAGTCATCAGACCTACCATCTGGAAACCAGAAAATCGGGAGAACAACATGGCCATTTCACCTTCATCCACGGAAGAGTTACTGGTTGAACAGGACGGACACATCGTCACCATCACTTTGAACCGGCCAGAGCGCTTAAACGCCATCAGTCGCGCCATGCTGAGTGAATTGTCGGCCAAAATGGTTGAAGCGGATAAAGATCCTGATGTGCGATGCATCATTCTGACCGGTGCTGGGCGAGGATTCTGCAGCGGCCTGGATCTTATTGATACATCAGATCGCATGGATGAGAGCGGCAGTGTCGGTGGTGGCTCCAATCGAGCGCGGCAGCTGTTTGATCTCCGAGATGCACCCATCAACGTCATGTGGCATACCGACACACCCATCATCTGTGCGATCAATGGCGCAGCTGCAGGTTACGGTATGGATATGACACTGTTGTGCGACATGCGCATCATGTCTGAGAACGCCAAACTGGCGGCGGTAACAGCCAAACGCAATGTTGTACCGGAAAGTGGCGGTACCTGGCTTCTGCCGCGTCTGGTTGGTTGGGCTAAAGCGGCTGAACTTTACTATCGCGGCCGTACTATTGACGCTCAGGAAAGCCTCGAAATTGGCATTGTGAATGCAGTGGTACCTAACGACAAACTTATGGATACCGCACGTGAATGGGCCCAGGACGTTGCAGATAATGCACCGGTTGCTGTACAGACCACCAAACGCATGATGCGCATGGGCATGGAGGAATCTTACGATACCGCCGTTGACCATCTGATGGTGCATCTAAGTGGCTTGTTCCAGAGCGAAGACTTCAAAGAGGGTTTGCAGGCATTTATGGAGAAGCGCAAACCCAACTTTACCGGTCGCTAGACAACTTTAATCTGCCGCTTTGGCGTCACGCCGAATGACCTGGGCACCTTCCGGGTCAATCGGCACGCCATGGACAATACGCGCATTGGCATGGCCAAGCTGCTGCAGCGACATCGCTGACTGCAGCGCGCTCCACAACCCCTGCGCATCCTGCGCCTGGTTAACGCTCTGTTTTGCCAATCTAAGCCCCATCGCTGGACGCTTGGCAATACGTTCTGCCATTTGCGTGGTAAAACTTGTTAACTCTGCGGCGGGCACTACCTGATTCACCATACCGCAGGCTTTGGCTTCAGCAGCCGACATCATGCCACCCGTAAACAGCAATTCTTTGGCTTTGCGCACCCCGAACTCCCAGGGGTGACCAAAGTACTCAACCCCGTTTACACCAAAGGCAACAACGGGATCGGAAAAAGTTGCATCTTCTTCTGCGATGATCAGATCGCAGACCCAAACCAGCATCAATCCTGCAGCGATCACCTTACCCTGCACTTCCGCTATGGTGGGCTTAGGCAGGTTACGCCAGCGCCAGCACAGCCCCAGATACAACTCCTCTTCCATAGCCTGCTGGCCAGCTTGACCCGGTTGATCAAAGCCACCCCAGGTACCCACCGTTTCAAAATCAGACATCTGCGCACTGTCACGCAAATCGTGACCGGAAGAAAAGTGCGGGCCATTTGCCGCTAGAACAATGACTTTCACCTGCTCATCACGTGCGGCGAGATCAAATGCGTCATTAAGCTCATACAGCATCTGTTTGTCCTGGGCATTGCGCTGCTCAGGACGATTTAAAGTAATGCGCGCCACGCCGCTGTCCACCACCTCATAAACTACCGTTGAAAACTGTGTCATCTCACCCTCTACGCCTTAGAATACGAACCTGATGTTAGCAACACCTATCACCTGGAGTACACGGGCGTGCAATTAAACAACCGTGGAACCATAAACTGGCGCTGGTGGGCGGCAGCTGGCCTGTTCAGCCTGGGTTTTATCGGCCTGCTCTGTGGCACCTCGTTGAGTGAACGCCCAGATGTTGTTGAATCCAGCTGGTTGACCAAAGCATATTACGCGCTGGGTCTGTTTGTGGTTGGGGGCTTAGACATCGGCACACCCCAGGATGGCACCTGGTGGTCACGCAGCATGTTGTGGATAGCCTACTTTGGCGCGCCATTTCTTACTGCCTCTGCGGTCATCGACGCGCTGATACAGGCAATGTCCAGAGACGGCTGGCATCTGCGCCGGATGCAGGACCATATTGTTATCTTCGGCTCCGGCCCGTTAACACTGAGTTACCTGCGGCTGTTACGCAAAAATGGCAGTGCGCAAAGTGTCATTGTGATCGACAAACACTTTGATCCAGTAAGGGAACAGGAGTTGATCAATAAGTTTGGCGTCACCACGGTCGTTGGCGATCTGACCCACGACTACCTGCTGCAGCAGTTGCGCATGCACAAAGCGCGCAGAGTATTGCTGTTCGGCAACGACGATTTCCAGGCTTTTGAAGCCGCCGCGCGTATTCTTGCCATTGCACCAGCATTAGCTGGCAACCTGATTCTGCACTGTCATAACCTGCGATTTATGCGTTCCCTGCAGGACACTGAGCTGGCCCAGAGCTGCCAAACATTTAACACCTATAACCTCGCAGGCAATGGCTTTGTCGAGGATTATCTGGTTGAACACTTTCACCAGACCAAGTCTCGCGACGTGGTCGTCATGGCAGGTTTTGGCAGATTTGGTCAATCGGTTTTAGAGGGATTGCAGAATGTTGCCACCGGCGAAATCGAACACGTCTGCGTGATCGATATTGATGCTGATCGGCGTGTTTTAGTAGCAGCCGAGCAGGAAAGAATTGGCGAGGGCTACAAACGTACGGTCTTTCAGGGAGATATATCTCATCCCGTGGTTTGGGAACAATTAACCCGCACAGTAAACCTTGGCGATGCAGAACCGACAGTGATTCTGGGCACAGGGAAAGAACAGGACAACCTGCGCACGGCGCTATGGATCAAGGAACGCTACCCTAACGCCCTGGTGTTTGCCCGTACCAACGACATTTCCATGTTTGCTTCGAGCGTCGGCGCTGGTCGTAACATTAAAAGCATCAGTATTACGCAGCTGATGGAGGATCACATACCGGAGCAATGGTTAGGCTAAAAAGACAAGGAGCAATAACCTCAGACCTCGGCTTCCTCCCAGCTGTTAAAAAAAGTGACTTCCCTTGCCGCTTTACGATCTGCGGGTTTAAGCACCGCATTTTTTGTATAACCGACAGGCAACATGACCAGATGCTGATGATCTTCAGGCATGCCTATTATCTCCGCCACATTCGATTGTCGTGCAGCTAACAATGTGGTCCACGTAGCACCAATGCCCCTTGCCCGCAGTGACAGCATCAGCGACCACGCTGCTGGCAGTATCGATCCGTAATAGGCCACTTCAGCCGCAGTAGACACTTCCGCGGGCCGAGAGGGCGCGCACACAAAGATGAGGGCGGGCATATTAGGCAGATTATTCAACAGCGCTTTGTGAGTAGGTTTCATAGCCATACCCCGTTGTGCAAGTAACTCAGTCAGCACCTCGCCGTAAAGCAGCGCCAGCCGACTTTTGGCCAGGGGTTCATCCACCACTATGAATCGCCAGGATTCGCCTGCCATACCCGTCGGTGCCTGGACCGCGTTATCTATGCAATCAAGCAACACAGGCCGCTCTATAGGACGTTGCAGATCGAGGTTTCGCCGTACCGAACGTGTGGTACGAAGAAAGTGATCAAATTGATCGATCGCAAGCCCCGCTATCTCATCAGCCATCAGCATAATTCCGATTTATGTGTCTAACCCAGCGGAAAAAAATTCCGCTATGGGCATCAAAACGAATTACAGCCTACAATGTTGCCTGACGACAAACCAAGAAATTCCATGGCGAAACTTTCTGTACTAGATTTATCCCCGATCAATGAAGGGCAAACAGCTGGCGATGCTCTGGCCAACTCTTTAAGCCTGGCCCAGCACGCAGAAGCGCTGGGCTACCACCGTTACTGGGTGGCGGAACACCACAATATGCCTGGTATCGCCAGCGCAGCTACCGCGGTGGTCATAGGACACATAGCTGGAGGTACCCAGCGTATCAGGGTAGGCGCTGGCGGCATCATGTTACCTAACCATGCGCCGATTATGGTGGCCGAGCAGTTTGGTACGTTAGAAGCGTTGTTCCCCGGACGAATCGATCTTGGCCTGGGACGCGCGCCCGGTACCGATGGTGTTACCGCCCAGGCACTGCGGCGCACGTTGAATTCGGATCCGAATAAATTCCCGCAGGATGTACTCGAGTTACGCGAATATCTCAAAGATGCTCAACCCAACGCGAGGGTTCGCGCTGTCCCCGGTGAAGGCAGCCATGTGCCTTTGTATATTCTTGGCTCCAGCCTGTTTGGCGCTCAACTCGCAGCGATCCTCGGCCTGCCGTTCGCTTTTGCCTCACATTTCGCCCCTGCTGCCATGATGCAGGCACTGCAGATCTATCGCAGCGAATTCGAACCGTCAGAAACTCTTGAAGCACCTTATGTCATTCTGGGCTACAACATCTGTGCAGCTGACACTGAAGCTGAGGCACGCTATTTACGCACCTCTGGACTACAGGCTTTTTTGAATCTGCGTTTTGGCAATCCGGGCAAACTGCCGCCACCGGTGGAAGATTTCGACAGCACGCTGACAGCCCAGCAGCAACAGGTCATGGCGCAGATCAGCTCCGCAGCCTCGGTTGGAACGGCTGATCAGGTGCGCCAGGACGTAGAAGCATTTCTGCAGCAGACCCAGGCTGACGAACTGATCGTTACCAGCCAGATTTATGACCACGCTGCACGTCTTCGCTCTTACGAAATTGCCAAACAAGCCTGCTGCGGCCTGTAAGGCAATTTTCCTAGCCTGTTAGTTAAGGCATAAACCAGATTGGCGATGACCAGGCACGATCCTGGATCACAGCCTGCATATCGGGCCTTGGCGTAACCCCTGCGCGGATCGCGTCATAAGTAGACCAGCGACAGCTGGGATTCTCCAACACACGCACGTAATAAAAAGCGCGTTGATTGGGATCGAAGTCCGGATCCTGCCAGACGGTGACCAACTCGGCGTTGCCTTTGCCACGCGTTGTGGAGCAATCTGTAAGATCGACACCTGCGCCATTGTCCGGACAGCGTCCGGTAGCGGGATCCACAGCCAGACCATCACTACAGGCGACATCAATCACGCGTTCACGCGCTTCCCCGTCCGCCAGCCAACCTTTGACAATCTGCAGACGCTGTAGATTCTGCGTATCCGGGTCTTTACTTGCCCACAGATAGAAAGAAGGCATTTTATCTCCGTCGCGCAACAGGTCTGAACCCATCGGCACACCAGCCGCGTAAGCCTGTTCGATGGCGTTATCGGCATTCATCAGATCATCAGACAGGCCATAACCGGCAAAAAAGCGCACCTTGATGTGCGGACCGCTGGTGCTGAAGGTTTCTTTACGTCGCATCGCGTCATAGATCGAATCCCGGGTGTTCGATTCCGCCCACACACCTGCCAGCCCGGAGGCCCCCCAGTATTGGGATGCACCCTGCGCATATTGCGGATCACCTTCAGGCGAACTGTCTAAAGGCACAGAACCACGCAGCTGCGGCTCGATGTCCATCAAACCGGTTTTGCTCCAGTAATTGTCCTCTTCAAACGAACCCGCAGCATTGTGCGTATCTGATGCGCCGATCACACCAAATTTGAAAGGGTTGAAGCCCTCTTCAGCCTCCATTTTCAAGCCGTTCAGATAAGCTTCGCGCACATAACTGCCGTTCGGCTGTGAAGGTAAAGTGCTGGCTACTCGAATGGGCATGATTTCAAAATCCGCCCATTCGTCATTAGGCGATAACAGAGGATGTGTGTCAGAGGTGCCTTTCACCTGAGTATTCTCTACCAAAGGCTCATTGCGCATGCGTTGTTCGGCGTAAGCAGCATCTATAGGCACATCCGAATTGTAACGCACATCTGTGAACATCCACCCATTAGATCCGTTGGAATTGTGTGGTATGGCCAGAGACTCCCGTCCTTCAGCACGATTGGCATCCATCCAGTCCCACAGATCTTCTGGATCAGATGAATCCAGGCGGCTGAACGGCTGCGTGGGTACATCACCCCCTTTGAAAATCACGTTGCGATGCAGGTTCTCAAACTGAGGGCCCGACGTGGTGTATTCATAGCCAATGAACGTTGTAAAGTTGCCCGGATCATTGTGTCGCTCTGCAGCCTCAATGACTTCTCGCCAGGCGCTGCGAGCGACGTTTCGATCATCAAGATCATCTTCGCCGCCGTCCTGCAACGACACCAGATGCCCGATAACAGACTGAAATGCTTTGGTTGAACCTTCCGCTGAAGTTGCACCGGCAACCACATCAGACAATCTGTGCTCAGCAAAATCGCCCTGCTTGGAACCCAGCGCGCGCATCATGCCAAGATAAAAAGCGTGATCTGATACCGCGAGAAAATCCAATGGCTTTTTCATCTGCATCTGAAAGCCTGACGCATGCGAAATGGCGCCGCCTTTGGCAAATTCATAGGCGTCGTCAGGCGTACCCCGCGTACCCATGAGATAGGCGTCAAAAGACAGCACCGTATGAATATGTGTATCGCCAAAGTAGGCATTACGCTGCGGATTACTCGAGATTTGCGGCTCACTTGCCTCGACCGTGGTGTCGGGCGGCATCTCGACGGGTGGCGCTGTCGCCGGCACTTCACTGACCTGATCCTGACCGCAACCAACCAGGATCAGACACCCCAACATTACAACGCTGAATCGCATTGCTCTCCCCTTATTTATCAATACCCTCAGGGAGAAACACTACGCCTGGGCGGCATGCCTTTCAACCGGCATGCCGCATTTCAAACACTTATCTGAGCCGGGGCCTGTTCACTAACCGTTAGGGTTAATCAGATACTTCTTACCTGTTGCCTGCTGAGCGTAGGTCTGCAATAAATCGAGTTGCAGCGCCTCACTGAGAGAAATTTCAGCTGCATAGCTGCTGGCAAAAGTAGTGCGCACTTCGTCGGCAACACGCTGACGCAACTCCTGGGCTTTTTCACGTCCCACTTTCTGTAGAAATGGGGTCAGCAGCCAGCCGCCCAGACTCCAAGACATACCATAAGCCCGGCGCAGGACGGTAGGCGAGCGATCCAGTCCACCATAAATGTAAACCTGCTTATGCTGAGTCGAACCATAACGACTGTATTCAGAGGCTGTTGCAATCGCTGCGGCTTCCATCGCACTTAGAATCTGGCTCGCCAGCTCACCACCGCCGGTGGCATCAAAAGCAAGGTATGCGCCGGTTGCGGCAATCGCGTCCGTCAGGTCCTGCATAAACGTATCCTGGCTGGAGTCGCAAACGTACTTGGCACCCAGGTCCTTCAACAAAGCAGCCTGTTCAGGTTTACGCACCACATTCACCAGCGGCACATCGTCTGCAATGCAGATCTTCTGCAGCATCTGCCCCAGATTTGACGCAGCAGCGGTATGAATAAGACCGCTGTAGCCTTCCATACGCATGGTTTCCACCATACCCAGCGCCGTCAGGGGATTAACAAAACAGGACGCACTTTCAGCCGGCGTTACACCGTCGTGCATGACCAATGCCTGACCGACGTGCAGCGTTCGGTACTGGCTGTACATCGCGCCACCCAGTACCGCAACGGTTTTGCCCATCAACGCCTGGGCCTCAGCCGAACTGCCAGCGGCAATCACGACGCCGGCACCTTCATTGCCCACCGGCATGGATTCATCAAATCTGCCGGTCATATGTTTCAGCAGACCACTGGGTATATCGGCGCTGATTGTTGGTGCACTGGCGCTGCCACCCTGTACCGCAGTGGATAGATCTGCCATGCCGACCAGCAAACCCAGATCAGAGGGGTTGATGGGTGAGGCTTCCACACGCACCAAAATTTCGTTGTCGCCGGGTGGGACAACGTCTACTTCCTGCAGGCTCAGCTCTAATTTGCCGGCAGAGGTCACCAGGGACCGCAACTGCAATCCACTTTTGGGGATATCACTCATGATGTTCTCACTTGAAAAAAGACGAATACCTTCACCTGATACGGCGCCAATGGCAATAGTTTGCAGGCGAGTTAAACTGGCAGCGATGAGATGGAGAGCATTCTGCAAACTGTTACCACCAGCACAATAAAAGAAATCTTCCCCGGTGCCAGCCTGCAGGATCTAGGCACCCCTGATCTGACTTTTGTCGACTGGGGTGTGCTGGATTATTTTGGCTGGGTTCACCCGGCCGGACACTCCGGCTGCGTGATCGCGCCCATCAACGGCGAGCTGCGGGGTATGCAGATGCGGCGCATGCAGAACCACAGCGCAAAACCCCGGACCCATATGTGCAGCTGGTGCCACCATGTTTATCGCAGCCGTGGGACAGCCATGTTTTCCACCCGTGTCGTGGGTTCCGATGGACGCCGCCGGATCGGAAATTACATCTGCCTGAACCTTGATTGCAGCCTTCGGATTCGTAACCTCGCCAGCGATCCACCCACCTATCTACCTGAAACTATTGAACTTTCTCATAAAGTCTGGCGATTACAGACCAATATCACCAGTTTCATGGCACGGGCAAATTTACTCGCCGACCTGCTCTAACCGGGCGCATTTCTCCTGCGCATTCGGTTATAATTTGGGGCTCGTTTTGCAGAGTGGCTACGGTCGCTCTCTACAACAACGCCCAATCAAACCTTTTCGATCATTAAAATGACATGCGGAGCTGAGCATGAACTTAGACACCTTTAGACAAGAAGCCCGTGATTGGCTGAACGAAAACTGCCCACAGGAAATGCGCCTGGGTGCGGTGCACTTTGAAGACGCCTACGAGGTCTATCAGTCCGATGCAGCCAACACCTGGCGCGATCGGGCCGCAGCACGCGGTTGGACGGCACCCACCTGGCCAACAGAATATGGCGGTGGCGGCTTGAGCAAAGCCGAAGCCGGTGTACTCAGCGAAGAACTGGTGCGCATCAAAGCGTTGCCACCAGCCACCGGCATGGGCTTAGCCATGATTGGGCCGACCCTTTTAGAAATGGGTACAGAAGACCAGCGTCAGCGTCACCTGCCGAAAATTGTGACCGGCGAAGCCCAGTGGTGTCAGGGATATTCTGAACCTGGCGCAGGCTCAGATCTGGCCGGCTTGCAGACCAAAGCTGTTCTGGAAGGCGACCAGTTCATTCTGAACGGCCAGAAAATCTGGACCTCTGGCGCACAACACGCCAACTGGATGTTTGCCTTGGTTCGCACAGATCCTCAAGCACCCAAACACGAAGGCATCAGCTTTGTGTTACTGCCCATGGATCAGCCCGGTGTCACGATCAAACCGATCAAACTGATCTCCGGCTCTTCACCCTTCTGTGAAACTTTTTTCGACAACGCTATTGCTCAGCGTATCGACCTTGTTGGCGAACTCAACAAAGGCTGGAGTGTGGGCAAACGCCTGCTGCAATATGAACGTAACGGCGCCACCCGCCGCGCGCCTAAATCAAGCAAGAAGAAGCCAACCCTGAATGTGTACGCCAGTGTCGCCAAGCAGTACTCCGGTGAAGACAGTCAAGGTAAGATCGCTGACCCGGCAATGCGCGATGAGGTACTGACACAAGTCATGCAGGAACGTGCGCTGGCTTTGACTACTCAGCGTGTGCTTGACGAAAGCCAGTCTACTGGCGCTCCTGGAGCGGCCACCTCTATTTTCAAGCTGGTCGGCTCTACCTTGTCAAAACAAGGCTCACAACTGAAGTCCACCCTGCGCGGCACTGCTGGCCTGGTATGGGAAAGCGACCAGTTCAGTGAAGACGAGCTTGAATCCACCAGAGCCTGGCTGCGGGACCGCGCGGTGACCATTTACGGTGGCACCAACGAAGTCCAGCAGAACATTATCGCCAAACGCGTCCTAGGTCTTCCTGACTAACGACCGGTATAAACGGGATCGCGCTTTTCAACAAAGGCGCGCATCCCTTCTTTAGCATCTTCGGTACGCGAACACAGAATCTGGTTACGGTTTTCTATGGCCATAGCAGATTCCAGGCTGTTGGCGTCTATTGCCATGTTAAGGCCTTCTTTGGTCAGGCGCAGACCCATCGGCGACGTGGTCAACATTTCTTTCAGGTAGCTGTCAGCCGCGCCGGCCAACTGCTCAGGTTCAACCACCTCGGAAACCAGACCTGTCGCCAGAGCCCGCTGAGCATTGATAAACCGGCCCGTCAGCATTAATTCTGACGCCAGCGACGTGCCCACCAGACGGGGTAGAAAATAGGATGTACCCATATCACAGGCCGACAGGCCAATGCGAATAAACGCAGCGTTCATACGCACGTTATCTGCGGCAATACGAATGTCCGAAGCCAGCACAAACGCAAACCCACCACCACAAGCCGGCCCCTGAACCAGAGAAATGATCGGCTGCGGGCAGCGACGCATGAGGATGTAGACTTCAGCCAGATAACCTTGAAAACCCCAACCTGCCCCCACTGGACGATGGCCGGCACTGTCGACCATGTCGTCCGCCTGCTTGATATCAAGACCTGCACAGAACGCGCGTCCCGCACCGCTCATGACCACCACCCGGGTATCGGTGTTTTCCAGCAGGCTGGAGAAATAGTCGCGCAGCTCAGTGACCATTTGGGTGTTGATCGAGTTAAGGGCCTCAGGGCGATTCAGCATTAATCGATCAACCGGCCCCTGCCGATCAACTGCAATGGTTTCGTATTCAAGTGTGCTCATGGTTGTCCCCGCTAGAATTGAACGCCGAGTATAGCCCGAGGTGCATCGTGTTTTTCACCTCACGCTTATTTTTCAGCGCGTGCCGCTGTTTAAAAAAACCTCAGGTCGTTAATATGAAAATTCAGTAAGGGAGAGTATCGACGATGCAACAGGCGCTGACTGGGTTTCGAATTTGTGATTTCACCGGTCAATTAGCCGGTGCGGGTGCAACCAAATGGCTGTCCGCATTCGGTGCAGAAGTAATTCGTATAGAAGACCCTGTTCGCCAGGGACGCTGGGACATTCTCAGGGGCATGGAGCCTTTCAAAGAAGGCCAGCGAGGCCTGGATTACGGCGGCGGCTTCAATAACCACAACACTGACAAGCTGGGAATCACCCTCAACATCCGTACCGAACGTGGTAAAGAACTTCTCACCGAACTGATTAAAATCTCTGACGTCGTCAGTGAAAATTTTGCTGCGGGTGTGCTCGAGAAATGGGGTTTTGGCTATACACAGCTCAAGGCGATCAAAGACGACATTATTTACGTCTCCAACTGTGGGTTTGGTCATCAGGGCCCGTACAGCCAGTACAAAACCTGGGGACCCATCGTGCAGGCGGTATCCGGGTTAACTTATACCTCCGCTTTACCCGATCAGGAACCTGCAGGTTGGGGCTATTCCTACATGGATCATTCCGGCGGGTACTACATGGCAATGGCCATCATGCTGGCACTGCTGCATAAGCAGAACAGCGGCGAAGGCCAGTGGGTCGATCTTGCCTGTACCGACGCCGCACTGACCCTCAACGGACCTGCGCTGCTGGACTACAGCATTAACGGCACACCGACACCACCCGCGGGCAGCATAAATTCGAACCGCAGCCAGTATCAGAACATGGCACCCCACGGCATTTACCCATGCACCGGCGACGACAACTGGATCGCCATCAGCATCCGCAACCAACAGGAATGGATAGCGCTGGCGCAACACATCAATGCGGCCTGGACCAGAGAATTTGACGACGAACACCATCGTTTGACACACCAGGACAAACTGGATGAACACATCAGTCGCTGGACCTCCAGCTTGGATAAAAACGCCCTGACTGCTGCACTGCAGAAACTACCTGTGCCAGCCAGCGCTGTATTCAAGCCGGAAGAGCGCATTGACCTTGACCCTAGCACCGAAGCATTCGGCTTATGGCCAACCGTTGAACACAGTGCTATGGGTGACGTGCGCGTAGACGGCTTACCTGTGCACTTCTCTGAAACTGACTGGCAGATGCAACGGGGGGCACCCTGCCTCGGCGAACACAACCACGATGTGTTAAGTCGCCTGTTAGGCCTGAGCGATAAAGAAATTGAGTCCCTGGCAGCGGAGGGTGTGATATGAGCGCATTAAAAGGGCTTCGGGTTATTGAGCTGGCAGATGAAAAGATCGCCTTCGCCGGCAAATTAATGGGTGACATGGGCGCCGACGTTATTCTGGTTGAACCTGAAACGGGCGACCCCAGCCGACACTACCCACCTTTTCTTGCTAACGAAGCCGGGGAGCATCGCAGCCTGCATTTCTGGCACTACAATACCAGCAAACGTGGCATCACATTGGATCTGGACAGCCGCGAGGGCCAGGCAAAATTTCTCAAACTGATCCAGAGCGCTGACATTCTGATTGAATCCCAGCCAACCCAACACCTCAAACAACTGGGGCTGGATTATGATGAACTGGCACAACACAACGCCAGGCTGATCCATATTGCCGTCACACCTTATGGGCGCAACAATGCCAAAAGCGACCTGCCGGTGACCGACCTGACATTGATGGCGGCCGGAGGACCACCCTGGAGCTGCGGTTATGACGATCACAATCTTCCGCCTGTCAGGGGTTGGGGTAATCAGGCCTACCATACCGCGTGCCACTTTGCGTTTATGTCAGCGCTGACCGCCCTGCTGTTCCGCAACAGCAGTGGCAAAGGCCAGTTCATCGATGTCTCAATGACAGCTGCACTCAATGTCACCACAGAATCCGCCAGCTATGCCTGGCTGGTCAATGGCAGCACTGTCATGCGTCAGACCGGTCGTCATGCGGCTACCGTGCCCACCGGTGAAACACAGATGCAGTGCGCTGACGGTCGTTATGTGAATACAGGCGTGCCGCCGAGGTTTCCGGCGGAGTTTGCCAAACTCCTCAACTGGTTGAGACAGCTGGATCTGGAAAGCGCGCTGCCTGAAGCCGTATTCCTTGAGATGGGTGCACAATGGGAAGGACCTTTTGATCTGTCGCTGATCGGTAGCGATGACACCATCACCGCTATTTTCAGCGCGGGCCGCGAAGCCTTAAAACTGATTGCCACATCTGTGGATGCGCAGTCGTTTTTCATCGGCTGTCAGGACGCTGGCTTAGCGGTGGGACCCATCAACAGTCCCAGCGAGGCATTTGAAGATGCGCATTTCAAAGCGCGTGGGTTCCACGTCGAGGTGCCACATGACGACTCAGGACAGACCTATACCTATCCAGGGGCCCCCTACCAGTTACCCGCAAGTCCATGGCACATTTCGCGCCCTGCACCAAAGCTGGGTGAACACACTCAGGAAGTGCTGGCTGAATTGTCGTAAACCAGTTGGCCAGCAATCAAAGTCGCCCGCGCTTTCACCGCAGACAGATCGCTATAGGCATGACTGATCGGGCGATCCAGCAGAACTAAATCCGCCGGCGACCCCGGAGTTATCTCTCGCTGTGGCCCACCAGGCATTTGCGCTGAGCTCAGATAACCAGACAAGGCGGTTGCCGGCGAGACCGCTTCGGCGGCATTCAAAACACTGCCATCAACACAACGCCGGGACACAGCCGCAGCCATACACAACCAGGGATTCAAAGGCCCGTATGGCGCATCGGAACTGGCTACTACCGGCACTCCCGCGGCCAACAATGACGCATAGGGGTAAATATGCGCCAGATCTGCCGCGTCTGCAGCGTCTCGATAACGTGGCCCGCGCGCCCAGACAAAACCGGGCTGTGTCACAACCGTTGCACCGCTGTCTTTTAACTGCGCCAGAACATCAGGTCGAACAACCCCGCCATGCTCAATCCTGTCCGCGGGGTCATACCCAGCCTGCTTGAGCGCTGCCAGCGCAAACACCAGCTCAACATGACTGACACAGTGGAATGCAGCACTGCGCCCAAGTCGCCTGGCGGCACCAATTCGTTTGACCAGAATTTCAATCGAGGGTAGATCATCTTCGTCCAACATGATTTTCAGCGGCCCTGAAGACAGACTGTCGTCGCCCATGACATACAGACGCTGGGACAGGCTGCCGCTGCGTTGCGCTGCCGTCAGCGCCTGCAGCGTCATTTGATTATTGGTGTAAGAGGTATCTGTCACACCTGTTATGCCAAAAGCCGACAGCGTTTCAGACAGCGCCCTCAGATCAGGCACCTCCGAGTGCAGGCGCTTGCGCAGCCAGTCATCTGCACGCCAGATTCGGCCCGTTGGAATACCATTTTGATCTCTCTCAATACCCTCATGGCTGGCGGCGTCAATCTCAAGCTTCTGCAGTGCCAGCGAATTCAATACCCAGAGTTTTCCGCTGCTGTGCTGAAGTCGTGTGGGCACCTGCGGACTGAGCTGATCAAGCCCGTAGCGATCAAGATCCCCTGCCATACTTTCGTGATAGCCCACAACCCGTCGCCATTCCGATACGGGTGCATCACCAATAAGCTGAGCCAGACCTGCCTCATCACCCACCTGCACATCAGAACAATCAATGGACGCCGACGTCGTGGCTGTTGCAAACAGATGTATGTGATGGTCGTGCAGACCCGGCAGCAGAGCACAACCTTTAGCGTCAAGTACCGGCTCATCTGCAGGCGCAAGATTTGCCCCCATTTCTAAAACGATGTCGGTTACACGAACATCAACCGGGTTGCCTTCAATTTCCGCATTTCTGATCAACACACTTGCTGTACCGGTATACTGGTGAACATGCCTGAACCCATTTCTATCAAGACCTTTAACACCATTGCCGGCTCACCCAGCCTGGTGATAGATCACAGCCAGGCATTAGGCTGCGAGTGTCTGATTGTGGATTGCACGGGCGCAGATTCAACCCCTGTCGCAAATACACCCTGCCAAACCATTCTGATTGGCATGGGTGCCTCGGCATCTCAGGCGGTTCCATTCGACCTGCTTGTCGATGACCTGGACACGTTAACAACCCTCTGTACCGCCATCGCGGCACAACCCGAGGCAGCTTTTGTGTTAACCCAGATCCTGAGACACAACGAAAACAGTAACACCCAGAATGGACTGTTGGCAGAATCTCTTGGTTACTCAGCTTTACAAAGTGGGCAAGGTTTTCGCAACTGGATCAAAGCACAACCACCAAAAAACGCCGCTGATGAACAGACACAACCGCTCATTATCGAGCGCAACGGAGGAACACTACACCTCACCTTGAATCGTCCTGCCGTACACAACGCCTACAACGCGGCACTCAAAGATGCGTTGTGCGAGGCGCTGGAGCTCGCCCAGGTGGATATCAGCATCTCCGGCATAAACCTTTCCGGCAATGGCCCTTCGTTCTGCGCAGGCGGTGATCTGACTGAGTTTGGTTCGTTCGACAGCCCCGTCACCGCACATGTCAGTCGCACGACTCGCAGCGCCGGCAGATTACTCAGCAACCTCGCCATCCATACTCAGGCTTACTTACACGGCGCATGTGTTGGCGCGGGCATCGAACTGCCGGCATTCTGTAAAAATATTCAGGCACATCCCGGGGCATTCTTTGTGTTGCCCGAAGTGGCGATGGGGTTAATCCCGGGTGCGGGTGGCACGGTAAGTGTGTCGCAACGCATCGGACGTCAAAATACCGCGCTGATGGCAATCAGCCATCAGCGCATTGATGCCGACACAGCTCTGCGATGGGGGTTAATCGACGGCATCACCGCTGAGCCGGGCTTTGACTATTCGTCGTAGCAGCTTACCGGTTTCGTTGTAGGGCAGCTCATCCCAGACCTCCATGAGTTGTGGCACACGGGAACTGCGCAGGTGTTCTTTGACAAACGTCTGCAGAGCAGCAACATCAATGGTCATGCCTTTGCGCGCAACCACAGCCGCAGCAACACCTTCACCCCACTGATCATCAGGCACACCAACCACGGCCACATCCAGCACGGTTGGATGAGTCAGCAGCACATCTTCAATTTCACCCGGGGACAGATTCTCACCACCCCGAACAATCACATCGTCGGCGCGGCCTTCAAGAAACAGGTAGCCGTCTTCGTCCATGCTGCCGGCATCCCTGGTCGGGAACCAGCCTTCACTATCGGTCACAGATCCACGGCCTTCATACTCTCCTGAGACCTGTTCACCGCGCACGTAGATTTCGCCGCGCTCACCCGGGCCCAATACGTGCCCTTCATCATCTCTGATCTCAATTTCAACGCCGGGCAGAGCTTGCCCGACAGACACCAATCGACGCCGCAGATGGTCATCTGTACTGGCCTGGGCTATGCGGTGCTGTTCTGGTCCCAGCACCGCGATGGTGGAACTGGTTTCAGTGAGCCCATACGCATTTGAAAAATCTGTGTCCGGAAACAGCACCATGGCTTTTTCGATGACACTGAGCGGCATTTTGCCGCCGCCATAGGAAAGGTTTTTCAGATGCGGCATATCCGCTGAGGTTTGTCCTTCGAGGGCATCAACAATGCGTGCAAGCATGGTAGGCACGACAAAGGCGGTAGAGACTTTGTGCTGACGGGCCAGATCAATCCACGCATCCGCGCTGAAGTTTGGCAACTGCACCACATGGCGCCCGGAGTACACCGAACTTAAAACCGCAGCAATACCCGCAATATGATAAGGCGGTACACACACCAGGGCCGCTTCGTCTTCTTCGGCACAGGCAAATTCAACAGAACTTAAGATGTAAGACACCAGATGTTTGTGACGCAGGACAGCGGCCTTCGGTACACCGGTAGTGCCACTGGTAAACAGCAACACCGCCACTTCATCCGGGTCCATTGACCAGTCTGTATCCAGTATGTTGGCGTGGTTATCGTCATCAATGAAATAGCTGGTGGTTGAACACTGCACATCATTCATCTGACCCAGCGCGGGCACCCGTTTCGGCTCAGTGACAAGAAATGCCGGCGTCACCCGTTCCAGCAGCGCTGCAATCTCAGCATCCGTGAGACGATAGTTGAGCGGTACGTAAGGTACGCCGGCCCAGGCACTGGCAAACAGGCTCACCGGCGTTGCCAGATTACTGACATCGAGCTTTACCAGCCGCTGCGCTTTGCTGTCCCGGACGCTGGCGCCACGTGCGCGCGCTTTCTCGAACAGCTGAGCATAAGTCAGACTCACGCCGGTGCTGCCATCGGTAAAAGCTATCCGGTCAGGAAACGCGCCACTGGTCATCTCCAGAAGCATCATTATGTTCATGTAAGTTCGCCGGTTAGTCTGTTTTTGGCAGTTTCTTGGTGTCTTTCTGCAGCAGCAGTTCACCGCCGACGGCCAGACTGCCCTGGCCCGCTTTCACACACAGCACCTCAAGGGTTTCATCAGCGGTGATGTAGCGTTTGCCGATCACGATACCAACCGCATGCTCGGGATTGATTTCAGCCGCCGGGGCTTCGTCTCCAGGCATCAGCATCGGTGCCCCACCGCAGGTGATATCCACTTCTCCGCCGGGTGTGGCGACCACCATGATTTCTCCATCACAAACACTACTTTTCAGGCGTGCACCTGTCTTGAGTTCTGGCATGTTCCCCTCTTAGATCACTGAAATTAAACCCAGCCCTGATTCTAGGGTCATCTGTCGCAGTTGACAAAGCATTGCGCAAATCAGTCTACTGGGCGCCAGTATTTGGGGATTTAAAGAGAAGAAACAGTCTATGAAAACAGCAATATCAATCGGTTCGGCGTACTACAACGGCGAAGACTGGGACAAAATGGTCGCCTACACCCAGGCAGCAGACAAGTTTGGCGTCGATCAGGCCTGGTCTGCCGAAGCCTGGGGCATGGATGCGATTGTGCCGCTCGCTTACCTGGCAGCCAAAACCGAGCGTATCAAGCTTGGCACCGGCATCATGCAGATCAGTGCACGGGTGCCCTCGATGATTGCTATGACCGCACAAAGTCTGGATACCGTATCAAAAGGTCGGTTTATTCTGGGTCTCGGCGTCAGCGGTCCCCAGGTAGTAGAAGGCCTGCACGGCGCGGCGTTTGCTAAACCACTCTCGCGCATGCGCGAGTGTGTGGAAATTCTGCGCTTAGGACTGTCTGGACAGAAACTCGCTTACGAAGGTGAACACTATCAGCTGCCGCGCAAAGGGGGTGAAGGTAAAGCCATTCGCCTGTCTCAACCACCACGCCCGGACTTACCAATCTATCTTGCAACTCTGGGTCCTAAATCACTGCAGATGACTGGCGAAATGGCC